CCCCACCCCCCGCCCCCCCACACACACACTTCTGTTGGTTATTTTTTACTCATGCCAACAGAGCAGAGTAGGTAGGGATAGATGGCCTTGTATAAACTATACCTTGAGGAGGTGCCAAGTGCAGTGATAAGAGCCTGTAGAAGGCCTCCAATGAAAACCCAGGGATTCTTCTGGGTGACGATGAAGTACAGCAGCGGCAAGACACAAAGGGCATGGATGAGCAGTCCCACGATGACAGTGACTGTGTACATCCCCAGTTGGCCCCCCATCACTGCTAAGTCATCCATCTCCAGAATTTTTCCAGCAATTAAAAACATTATCCCAACTGGGGCATACCTGTTATCAAAACACAGAAGCCAAGTACTTAGAGCTGGCATCCGTATTCTCACACCAGTACTAGCAAACACTACCAGGAGAAAGTCACATTAGTTGAGGGAACTCAAAGGCACAATAACATGTGAAGTCATTAAATGGTTCTATGACTGACCCTTCCTAGTAAGCAGAGGGATAGCAGGGAACTGGCATACTTTAGAATCCAGACTTAATTGGCAAGCAATGTTCGTTCATCTGTCAAAGAGCCTGGTCATCTGCTGAATGTATAGATTGCGCATTGTGAGGGATTCTCTTCTTTCAGTTCAGAAGCCTTGCTTTCCATCTCCACTGGCATCTAACCCCCAATAACCCTGGCTTTTCTGCATGGTGGGCTCCCTAAGCATGTGTACTCTCCCCTCTCCTCCAGGTCTTCCTCACTGGGGGCTGGAGACAGGGTTTGCCTGGGGATAGGTACGAGCAGCTGTGTTATTGATAGTGGCTAAACTAATATTTTTATTTATGCACTTATTTAATTGTGGTAGTAGGTGGCACTAGGAATGGGGATACAGATGCCTGAAATTGGGTCCTGGCACTAGAGAAGAACATGGGGCTGAGCACAAAGTTGTATTTGAATGATGGCTCTTACAACATTTTCTCAAGCTGGGACCTGTCACCTCTATCTCATAGTTCCCATTTCCCCTACAATATCTCCCAGGCTGGATTTATGGTTCCCATGAGAACCAATGAGGAGTAGCAGGGCTGAGACAGAATACAAGCCTTACTCCTAAAATGGAGATCACAGGACAACGAATTACCTTCAGGTAAACAAGACTCTGGTTTCACACCCACCCACATACAAAGTCCGGCTTAACACTCCAGTAGCTCTGAGCTCCAGTATCTCAGGCTCATTTTCAAGGTTGCTCATAGGACAGGAATCATATTCAAGGGACTCGAGCAAAACACAGCTCATTCTTGATGGTATCAGGACTCCAGTTCAATCTGGGAGATTTGTTAAAGTTTAATTAAGTGAACTTTACAAACATCTCATATACCAATATTCTTTGTGGCCTTACTATTAAAGACATTCCCAGCTAGAGGCAGACACCAGGTCTTTTGTGGGAAAGCCTGTTACTGGGAGATTCTTACTCCGTTCTGAGGAAGGTTTGGGTAATGCACTGCACTTTTAGCATCTATTGGACCAGCTGAACTTCAGGCATCTGACCTTTGGAGGCTCCCCCTTCCTGAATAGCTCCTGGCCCTGCCATAACCAAATGCCCTGTTTCATGGGTTTCAGCCTTTGAAGACGTTCTTTCCTTCAGATGGTCATTTCTGAAAGAAAAGTATTTTAAAGGATTTTAAATTCAATGCTCAAAGAAAGGAGCTATTCATTACAACCCTAGGTAAACCAGACACAGGATAAGTGATCCTCACAACAATCAGCATTCAGTAGGCTTTAATGCTTGTTTGTCTATATGGCGCAAGAAATGCGATGCGTTTTTTCCTTCTGAATCACTAGAATAGTCACCCATTTTTCAACAGACATTATTAGCACGCTAGACTGCCATGGATGCCAGTCCTGTTGCTTCTATCAGTTCATTGAGAACGTTATTTTGTGTAAGATAATATATTGCACTTAAACCCAAAGGTTTGTGGTAGAGGGTTGTGCTCAGGGTCAGACCAGTCACCACCTTTGGGAATCAGGAAGCAGTTTTAACCTGTAGTCAGACTGGCATGGACTGGAGAGGTGGGGGGAGGAACGGTGAGGGGAGAGGGTTTGCCTTCTTCTGTAGTGAGAAACAAGGCCCTCTCCTTGTAGCTCTCAATTCTCTGAAATTGTTCAGGTCCCTTGGACAAGCAGTGGTCCAACATTCTCTCCACCACAGTGGCGGACTGACGGGGTGGGGGCACCGGTTTGGGGTGGGGGGGCACCGGCTGGGCCCTTCAGAGTTCTTATTGTGCAGCGTGACTAAGTTACAGCCGGACCGCCCTATCCTGCAGAACCTGTGGCCGCAGGCACCCCACAGCCAAGGGGCCTCCTGCAGCCGTGAACACCTGAAATCAGTGCCATAGCAAGGCAGGGGTGGGCAGTTGCCACCAGTCTGCATTGCTGCTGCCAGTTTGACATCCAGCCACTTGCCACACCCTCCCCCTCCACCCCCCCGCCAGCTTCATGCCCCCGCCCCTTCTTTGTATCAGGGGGCCCCCAAAATTGTGGGTCAACCCTGCTTTAAGTATTGCTACAAGAAGGATGCGGGGGGAGGAGGGGGCACAAATGCAAGCACTGGCTCCTGGGCACTGGAGACCCGTGGTACATCACTGCTCTACCATATCCTTTGCTTTGACCACTTCCACACCATTCTTGCTCTGTACACACACACACACGTGCGCACACGCACACACACACACACACACACACACACACACTGAGTTTTGAGCTCTACACACCAGCTCAACTCTCCTCCTTGTTTTTCATGTTAATTTAAGCTTTGAGAGGTGATAGGGAGATGGGAAAACTGTGTTGGTCATGATGGCCAGCAGTAGCCAAAGAGTGAATATTTAGAATGCCAGCACCAGATCTGGGGCTAGTGTACTGCAGAGTAGATCTACATATCTCTCTGCAGCATGTGAATCTCAGAAGTTTGCATGCATATATAGCTGCTGATTCAAAAAGGCCAGTTTTCCAAAGCTGAGAGAAATTGAGGGGGGAAAATGCAAGGAAAAAAGAATGCAGGGGTTTAGGTTGTAGCCGTGTTGGTCTAAGGATATAGGCAGACAAGGTTCCTTGGGTGAATTTGATATCTTTTATTAGACCAACCCAAATGGTTGGAGAATAGTTATTAAGCAAGCTTTCGGGTTCAAAGACCCTTCGTCAGGCTAAGGAAGCTGCAGCAGTTGGTCTGTGCTCTTCCTGGATTTTCATTCCATCCAGGAAGAGCACACACCAACTGCTGCAGCTTCCTTAGCCTGACGAAGGGTTTTTGAACCCGAAAGCTTGCTTAATAACTATTCTCCGACCATTTGGGTTGGTCTAATAAAAGATATCAAATTCACCCAAGGAACCTTGTCTGCCAGGGAAAAAGAATGAAACTTGGGTGTTCTTTAGGCAGAATGTATTACATGGCCACTAAAAGGCATGATTTTACAGTCAAGAAAGTAGTTAGCTTTGGCTAAAAGCTCTTCCTAATTAATCAAATTGAAGGCAGCAATTAGAACAAAACAATATGTAACAAATAGGTAAAAAGGAGGGCAATTGATATAACTTAAGAGTTGTAAAGAATGGAAAATTTGTAATGGAAGCTAAAAATGGCAGGGAAAAATCCATAGTATAAAGGACTAAAGACAATAAGAAGGGTTTTTTAAGTGTGCTAGGGCCAAAAAAAATCTGACAATAGTATAGACTCACTGTTACTAATGTGAAGAAAAGGCAGGCATGTTCAGTAAATATTTCTGTTCTTTGCTGGGAAAGAAGCAGGATGAAGTAATTTCCAGTCCACTGGCAACCATGGAGATTTATTAGAGGACACCTTTAGATAAACGTTTTTGAATAAGCTGGCCTGAATAACTTGTACAGAAGACTGCTAAAGAAGCTGGTTGCAGAGATTTCTGGCCTGCTATTTTTTTGTAATAAGTCTTGGAATACCAGGGAAATTCCTGGACACTGGAAAAATACCAAAATTGTGCCAGTGTTCATAAGAGGTAGGAGGGAATTTTTAGGATTAACATATTTTCAGTCCTGGACAATAATGGAAAAGATGATATGACATTCAGTTAATACAGAATGAAAGGCTAGAAATACAGTGACTGCTAATAAGTAAGGGTATATAGAAAATAGATTTTGTCAAGTAAACCTGATCTCATTCTTTGGGGGCCTTAAGATGCAGAGAAATAACTACCATGGTTTGTACCCTGGGTGGCAGTGGCAACTGCCATTCTTGCACCCCTCTAAGTGGGCTCCTAGAGCTGATGTCCTGGTTGCACAACCTTCATTACATTACTGATCAGGTGTTTGGTTGATCACATAAAAATCTAAACATATTACTAGCTATCACATTTTATTCTTATAGGCACCATACAGTATATACAAAACTGTGTTAAATGGACTACGAATCAGCTAGTTGATAGATCTCCAAAAGTAGATGTCACTGTGGCAATAATGGAATGTGGCTGGGGGATTCTCATAAAAAAACACTGAACAGTAGTGTTGGAAGGAACCTCCAGAGGTCATTTAGTGCAATGCCCTGCCTGAGGCAGGATCATCTGTATCCAAACCATCCTATACAGAACCACTGCTTATCTATGGGACAGATCAGGCCCACAACCCCCCTTCCCTTTCCTCTCCCCTTCCACTCCTCTAGCATACCCAATCTGATGTCCACTCAAGCTAGTCTGAGTCTCATGATGCTTGTGACATGGATCTCAGAGAGATAGGAATGGATGCTAATGCAGGGGCGGGCAAAATACAGCCTGTGGGCCAGATATGGCCCACTAGGCCATTCTATCCAGCCTGCAGGGTCCCTAAAATTAAAAAAAAAAAAAAATCTTCTTCTGGCTGCCTGTCAAAGTTGACAGAAGCCAGGGGCAGTAGGACCCAGGGGAAGCTGCTGGCAGGATCAAGCAGAAGCAAGGCCTGGTGGCCTGCCCCCCCAACCCCAGTCAGAAGCCCCAGGCGAAGCAGAGGCAGAGAAGCTGTGAAAGCAGCAGCAGGCATGGGGAAGGGACAGCGAGTGGACACGTGAAGCTCAGCAGCAGCTGGGTGGGAGCGCGGAGTCCACACAGTGCACTGGGGCCAGGGCCAGCAGGGACCCAGAGTGGGGCATCAGAAGTGTGCAACCAGGCTGGCAGGGCTCTAGAGCTGGGTTGGCTCCCCCTCTCCTTGCTGGCTCAGCCTGGCCTGACTCCATAAAGCCCTGCTGGCCCATGTCCTGCGCTTCCAGTGCCCTGCTGGGCCCTTCTGGCGCTGGCCCCACTGCACTGCGCTGGCCCCATGCTCCTGCTGAGCTATTGCTGCGCTCTGCGCACCCACT